AAAAACCTTAAGAGAGTGGAGTCAGGAGGCCATGCAAGGTGAACTATTACACACAAACACCTATAACAAGACTTACCACAAGGCGTTCCTGCACATAGACCAGAAACAACACTTATCCCAAGACCTTAACACTGTAGTCTGGGGACCAGCAGTTGGTGTAACGGCTATGTCGCTGGACTCCCATGTAGTCGACCGAGGTTTGAGTCTCAGTCCTGGTGGCCTAAACTCACGCTGGGCACATGTGTGTGCATGCCCAAGATCCCAAGAGGAGAATAGAAGAGAAGGGATTATGGTGTGGCCCCCCTCCTGGGGGGGGGGGTGATTTCTCCCTTTTTGTCTCTCTGTCTCTCTCTGTCTTTCTGGCGAGTGCATGTGCCCTATAGCAAAATCCCCTCCAAACCCCCACCCCCCAAAAAACAACACAAAGCAAAAGAACCACTGCAGTCTGCTTAAGAGCACTTACCTGGCAATGACATTGAACATCCACTAATGAACAAACACCAACTCCTGCAACAAGCTTTTAGGACCTGTGGAGCTTTTTAAAGGAGCTTACATGTACTTCTCTGACTTTAAAATTTTCTCCTTTGCCCCTGGCCCCCTGGATCCATTATAGCCCCATGATATGGACTGCAGTTTTTCGCTACCCTGAAAAAACTCATTTAGTCTAGGGAAAAACAACATTTCATACAAAATGGTATCCATGTGAAAATGGGCTTTTCCCACACAATACAGTAATGTTTAAATGTAGTATAATATTTGAAATATGAAGTAGCACATATTTATGATGAGATCAATTTAAACACTATGTGTGTCTGTAGATAAAGACATGGAGGGAAAATGGACAAATAAGCATCGTTTGGTTTGTGGAGGGTGAGGTTAATACTCTTTTAATCTTTATTTTATATGGATTTGCGTTGTTAGATTAACTAATAAAGTTAATAAAGTGAATTTTCAAAGAATTTAACAAACAGGTGATGATGATTTTAGCCTTGACTTCCTTTTGCTTTTAACTTTCCAATATGACATTACGTAGTTGAAATTCTTTTGCTTTACATTGTATGGAGTAATTCTTTGGAGTGAAAAAAAAATACAATACCTCTCATGATAAAATATAGATATTGCTTTCCGCTGCTTTTACATGCATTTTGGGGGGGAAGGTAGCTTTTTAAATCTTAACATATTAATAATTATTTTTTAAATCGCCTGAGGGTTTGTCCATTTGCCAGAGAGAAACAGACACAGGAGAAGAACAAAGCACCTTCTACTGGGGTGTCAGCTTGCTGCAATCCCTTCTCTTCCTTTCCTCCATCCTGTTGAGTTTTGGTACACGGACACATGGACCTGGCGTCATTTTCAAGCTTTCAGGGCCAGGGTTCAAACTGCCATTGACCATGTGGGATCTGTCTCTCTTAACCCCTAGCCTGTGGAACTGGCCTTCTTCTTATTATTTTGAAATGGAATTTGAAGAATGGTGCTTTTATGTAATAGTTTCACTAAGTATGTACTTTTAAAAGTTCCAGGCAAGGTTCTGTTGATTTTACTATCAGGCGAGGCTTTTCTAGAAAAACGGTAATTAACTATCAATGATTATTTGGTTTAAATGCCAGTTAAACACAGGCTTTATAGTTATGCTGTGCCCAAGTAACCAAAGTGGTCTTTCAGTTATTTAGTACTAGGTTTACTATGAAACATTTTTTTCTTTTCTTTTCAGGATTTGAGATTTTTCTATAAAGTTCAGAAATTAGCAATCAAAAAGGTGAATGCAAGTTTTTATTAGAGAAAGAATTATTTCGTTTAGCATTCTCTTTTAGTCTACTAAATGTATGTTTAGCCAAATCTAAGTATGAACAGAAAGGTATTTAATAAATCTGGAATCAGAGCATCTTAGTTCATTTTTGTGTTGCTAACGGAAGTACCTGAGGCTTGGTTATTTCTAAAGAAAATAAAAGTTTATTTGCAAACATATGATTCTAGTGACCGGAACCCAAAGGCATCACAAAATGACTGAAGGCAGAATTTTTAGCAGAGCAGAACATGATCTGTGTCCATAAGTTTCTGTTTCTGCCATTCTGGTCTAGTTCTCTCTGTTTATAAGTCTTCCAAAGCTCAATTAGGGAACCATAACTCTCTCCCATTTCCTTAACCACCCAGTCACAGATCTCTGTCAAAGACCACACTTTTTCATACCATAATCAGATTAAGTTTGACTTTCTTAATCCCATTACAGTGGCTGAACACGTGAATTTGCTGTGTGTGGGGAGCAGGTTCAAACTATAGCACTGAGTAAGGGAGTTAATTTGGATCATTCAGAAATTTATTTGCAAATACTTAAAAACAAAGAGAAAAAAAAAGGTAGACTGCTATTCTTAAAATAAAAATAGTATAGATGAAAGAAGGCCTAAATAATTGAGAGACACACCATACTTTTTAATCTGAAGGTTCAATTTGCAAGGATGTCAGTGATCCACAAATTCTGCCCAGATACCAGTAGCACATTTGCAGAAATTGAAAAGTTTATATGGAAGTACAAAGGGCTAAGATTAAACGAAGTAGTCAAAGAACAAAAATGCGAGGTTTCTAGTATCAGTTATTAGACTTGTTATAAAACTATAATAATGAAGATAGTGTAGGATTGGTATATGCTAGATAAACTGACTGAGACTGATTAAGACCCTGTATACAGAACTACTCATATTTGGTCACACAGTATATGACAAAGGAAATAGCTGAAATACACAGGAGAAAGGGTGGTCTTCAATAAATATCACTGGGTTGACTAGATAACTATGTGGAAAAATATGTTTTGTTCCCTACTTGACATGATACACAAAAGGCAACTTCAGAGGGATTGAGGTAAAAATGTGAAAAGTATAATGATGAAGCTTTTAGATAAATACAGAAGAAAATCTTAGTGACCCAATAGTTTATTTATTTATTTATTTATTTTTTGCGAGGTTTTTGCTATAGGGCGCATACACTCACCAGACAGACAGTGAGAAATCACCCCCAGGGGGGATGGCCACACTGCAATCCCTTCTCCATTCTTCTCTCAGGATCTTGGGCATGCATGCACACGTGCCTGGCAGGATCTAAAGAGTACTAACCATATCATTTAAAGTTTGATAGTTTATATTTTATTAAAATTAATAATTCATTTTTTATCTAAATATACCATTATGAAAGTGAAAAGGTAACTCAAAATGAGAGAAGACAATACATTTATCTGTAAAAGGACTTATATCCAAAATAAAAAATAAAGAACTAATTAATAAGAACATAAAAAGTAAAACATTGGCAAGATTGAATCAGCATATTCAAGTGCTTAATATATGGAAAATACTCGACATTCATTATTCATCAGAGAACTATGAATTGGAACCATAGTGTAATACGTCAGCATATCCCCGAAATGGATAAAAATGAAAAAGATGGAACATGTTTGCAAGTATATGGAATAATGAGAATTCTCATACACCTACTCTAACTCAACACAACCTTTATAGAAAGCTGTTGACTGTGTACTGCTAAAATTACATGCATGTCTTCTGGTCCAGCAATATACCTACTCACAGACCCAACAGAAATGCTTACGTATTTGCTAGAGTGTTTATGGCTGCACTGTGTGTAACAGTCAAAACCTAGAAGTTGCAGAATAGGTCAGTTTTATCATATCTTTATTATGGTACATGCAATCAAGAGCATGATCTACCACTGTAAGACACAATGCGAATGAATCTTTCAAACAAAATGTTGAAAAAAGACACAAAATAGACCATGTTTTGTGATTATATTTACGTAAAGGATAAAAACATTCCAAACTTGATTCTGAAACTGTTAGACCTCAGGGTAGTGATTGGTTGGAGGGGTAGCGATTGGTTGGGGGGGTAGCGATTGGTTGGGGGAGGTAGTGACTGGTTAGGGGAGGTAGTGACTGGAAAGGAGGGAGTGTAAGAACAATAATATGTACTGAATGTCTGCACTCTATGGCAGACACTGAAAGATTGGAAGGTATAAAAACACGGAGAGCAACTCGAATAGTAGAGTGTGGGAGGAGAAAGGGAAATGGGAGGGGGATGGGAAGGAAGAAATCAAGAGAAAAAAGAAGCAAAACAGTTAATGGACATAACAGTGGAATATTATCTGTTGATGATAATATATATGGTAATATATTTGGCCTAATCTATGTTTTTCTATGTAACAATGCATAGGGACTTTTCTGATGACCCATTACAATGTATTCCTGCT